ATTACAGCAAATTTAAATCAGTTGTTTGTGCTCTTTCAAAAATCCACTGGCTGGTGGAAGGCAAAGGGTCAGATTTTGGTTCATGCAAACCAACACGGCTGATAGAACCCAGTGGAGCTGTGTTGCCTTGCACTGATCAAATCACCTGCCCAAAGATTTTTGAAACCCAACTGGAGTTTGCAGGAAATGGGATTCACAGATACCCCACAGCAGCAGCCTGGTCCTGGGAGCCTGGAGGTGAAGAACTCTTGGTGTCTTCAGCAAACACCAGGCCCTGGATGTGTCAGCAGGTGGTAAGTCAGCTTTTCTTTCCCAAAAAGTTCAGTGCTGGAGGTGCTAGAGGCATTCCAACCACAAGTGGATTAAGGACATCCAACTTCCCAAGGAAAGAACAAGCCCAACACACTTTTTTTAACAGGGCTTGTAATTATTTTTAAACCAACCATACAACGGTGTGTTTCTATTTTCATAGCCTGTAATAATATGTCACAGAAAAAATGACAGATCTATTGTGAGTAGCATATACAAGTAATATTTTCTAACATGTTGATGGGTGTAATATTCATAGAATTGCTTTAAAAAGTAGAAAACATGTTAAAACTACAAACAAAACCCCTGCTCAAGTATATAGCTTGCTTGCCATGACCATTAATGCTGTATGTATTTTTAAACAAGCTCATATACTGTGCTGCTGCTGTAAACTTACTTCTGTAGGCAAAAAATGTTCTATTGACAAACGTGGAGATGAAGGATGTAAATGTTCTTAAAGTGCTAGCAACTAAAATAATGAATTTTCACAGAATGTTCTAAAGGATTCTGTTACATGCTACAGATATATTTTACAAACGTATTTATGGATCATACACACACGAGTCTATGTGGGAACAAACAGTACTATTTTATTACAAAATGAATAAATGAATAAATAAGCAGTGGCTCTCCATGTCTGGAAGGTGGAAAACGTTTGGGGTTGTTTTGTTGGTGGTTTGGGGGTGTTGGTTGGTTGGTTGGTTTGGGGGTTTGTTGGTTGGTTGGGTTTGGAGTTTTTGTTTGTTTGGTTTGTTTGGGGTTTTTGGTTGGTTAGTTGGTTGGTTTTGGTTTGGTTGGGTTTTTTTTAAGGTGCTCTGATCAATTCTAAAGGTAATTTGAAAAATCAAGGACCTAGCACCTTACTGGCAGAGGGTACAGACTCACCCACACCCCCCAGCCACCCCCATACAGACCCCACCGCTCTCAGCGCGGGCAAAAATCATCAGAATTGGACATGGAGGAAAAAGGAACAGTTACCTAGCTGCAGAAACACAATGAAAATGCAATATTCCTAAGATTAATCTACGTCTCCACAGAACTACAAGCCATCCTTTGAGCACAGCAGCATTTACAAGACAGCTCTGGGGCAGGCAGCAAGGCTCCGTGCGTAGCCTCTCGGTCGCCTCTCGCTGCGTGGAGACAATAAAAACTCATTCCCTGAAAATCATGCTGAAGGGTAATAAAATTACAACGTGAAAAATGCCTGTAGATTCCAAAATGCTTTAAAAATACAGAGCTGGAAGCACTCCAGCTCTTGCTGGAGGATTGGGAATAACTGCACTGAAAGCTACAATTGAGGTTTTTAGGGAAGAAGGATCTGGGCGCCGTGTCAGGATTTCAGAGAGGAACATGAGTCCTCCCAGCAGCAAAACCTTCTCCTCAGTGCCACCAGCTTCAAATTTCAGTCAAGCTCCTGACAGGAATAAATGGGTTCAGCTCCTCTTCATGGAAGCTGATCAAATTGGCTATGGTAAAATGGTAAAAAAATATAGAATAAAATAACTGACTCTTGTCACAGAGCAGAACCACGGCTGGGAGATGGCTTTAGGAGGGGAGGTGGCCCCAAGGAGGCCTGAAGCATTTCAGTTTTTAGTCTAGCTTTGGAGAAGAGAGTCAAGATTAATGTAAGGACAACTGGGACCAGGTTACACCTGGCTCTAGGTGACCTTTCCTGAGCAGGGGGGTTGGACACGATGACCTCCAGGGAGATGCCTTCCAACCTCCACCACTCTGGGCTTATCTGCATCACAAGGGACTGGAAATCAGCACTGAAACATGTTTAACTTTGTTCCCAGATCATATCCAGGCAACTCAATTCCACTAAAACATCATTCCCATCCCAACACATGCTCACAGCTTCCTGTGATTGAGATGGAAGCTCATCCAAGAGGAGAAACAAATTGCAAGTCCTGTGGCCCAACAGATGGGTAGAGACAAGACCAAGGAATGACCAAGCTTGGAAGCCAGGTGAATTTTTTTTTTATAGAGAAAACCAAGGCAAATGAAAGTGGAAATGACATTGCTGCAGTCCACAGGAGACTGATTTTAATGATAATTTGAGGAATATAACTTTATCCAAAGGGTCAGTTATCAAGTATAACATCACAAAAACAGTTATCAGCAGGCACATATGAAACAATGTATACACAAAAACCCTTCTGTATTTGTACAAAGTTCAGAGCAATAAAATCTACAACAACATGAAGCATTCAGAAGATTAAATATTGAAACCATGTGTAGCATGAAAGCTACAAGTAAAAGCTCCAAAGTACTTTTAATCAGCAGATTGATTTGCTTCAGCCCTACAGTTGCTGAGGGTATGAATCACCCCTGCTCCACCTCGCTCCTTTCATGCCCCAGCAAGCACAAACAAGGGAGAAGATGAATAAATATTTCTTGATCATGGTTTTAGAGTGTTTCTTTGGATCAAGAGAAAAACCTGCTGCTGAGGAAAGCAGGCAGGGGGGAAGAGGGGGGAGAGCTCCTAAGGGGAAAAAGGAAGAGACATCATCTACTGGTGGTTTTTTTTTTTTCCCCTGCATTCTCCATGCCAGAATTTTGGGGTCTCTAGCCTCAAAAACTGCAGGATTATAAAATATATTATTTAGAGACTGGGATCTTTCATTTCATTTTTCATCCCTAATAGCCACTACAAAAAAGCAGAAGACAAACACTCAGCTCTCAGAGTCATTTTTGATAAAAAAAAAAATGCAAGAACTGTAGCAAGCAGGAGGAAAACATTTGCAACAGACCTAAGCAAAATGGGCTTTGATTTTTCAAAGGAGCTATTGAATTGCTTTGTAACTTTTATGCAAACAAACAAGAGCTGTACAGCCAGGGGTATCAATGCTGTGTTACAGACCAATACTGTCAGATGCCTACCCCAAACAGCTCATCGTTCAATGGGTTTACACAAAAGGCTTGACAAGAGCTGCAAAGAAACATTTCACTATTTCTAGAAAGAGCCTCTGTGCTGAAAGCGAAAATATAAAAATGTCTCTTTTTACTTATAAAAGAATCAATCTCTATTTAGAGCCCTGGAACTCTGGTTTTTTTTCCCAGGGCTGAAAGCTGTCTTCATTGGCAACAACAACAAAATGACATTTTCCAAGGATTCCACTCCTGAGCAGCCCTCCTCCTACACCTGACAGCCCCTGGGAGACCTCACATGGGACACGGGCCCCTCTGCCTCGTGCCAGGGAGATTGCTGGAGACTTTGAGAGAACCAAGAGAGACAGGGAGGGCAGTCCAAAGCAAAGAACAGAGATGCAGTAGCTACAAAGGTCTGCAAGATTGGGAAGCTGGAGACTTAAGGGATTTAAACATTACTCAGGATTAGGGAGAAGCAAGCAGCAGTTTATTCATTATTACTCATTAGCTATGCAATCTTCAGTGACAATCCAAAAGCCAAAGCCAAGCTTAGGGGAATATTTTGGATGGGCTGTTAAACCTGCTGTTTACAAGGACCTGGAATAAAGCACCCGTGAAGCAGTGAGGACAACTAGCTCTGGACAACTCAAGGCTGCATTATGGGTCACCTTCTCAGGGTCAACTCCCAGTGAAATCACTCAGGGTAGGTTTTTAAGCATCAAAAGGCAGATATCCACTAACACAGGGGGCTCCATCTACCTCTAGAACCCAGCATTTCCTTTCAGGTTTTCCATCCATTTGTGGGAAATGGAAACAAGAGGCTACACAGCCCTCAAGCACTCTCCTAAACAGTATGTAGCATACCAAAGAAAATAACTACATGGATAGAAAACACAAAACCAGCTTTAACAATATGTATTCTTGCCCAAAAATGGGAAAAAAAACAGAGTTAAGATTTAATCCCATCAGAAAGCATTTCACTGGGATGTGTCCTGAATACCAATCTTTCACCCAGATAGATTCCTAAAAGATAATGACTTTGCCATCTTGGAAAAAAAAAACCACAGAAAATGGCAACAAATTCCAAAGTCTACTTAAAAAACAGTCAAAAATATTATCTGGCCTCTTATTCCAAGTTGAATCTATGTTGTTTTTTTTTCTCTTCCTAGACACCTACCCTACATAGGTTCTATGATTAATTTATTATCATTTCTTGTCCTGCTGGCATCTGCAGCCTCACTGATTAATTTCTGTTACAGTCTCATTATTTCAGTTCTATAAATACCCCGTTTCACTTTACTCCTTTCTATAGTTACTTTGCAACCTTATTTTTCTCCTCCACCTGGGGCTCTCACTTGCAATTTAACACCAGACAGTGGGCAAAGATTGAGCTGAAATCCAGTAATTACACCTCCCTGCCCTGACATAGGGAATCATTGCTTCTTCTCATGGATGGAAGCTGCTGCGAGCTGCTCTGAAATCCCACAGGCAATCCCACAAAAAAACAATCCTTACTACTTGTCAGATTAGCTATAGAAAGTGTTTGGCTTCTGTAATTTGAAAAATGTGTATGGTAGGGTTACAATATATGGCAATATTTGCATTTGGGAAGAAGGAAGAGCTGGCTGATGCCACAGAGGCCAGCACGTTGGGCAGATCTGGTTCCACCTGCAAGAACATTAGAGCAGGACCCAATTTATTACCACCAGACCAGGTTACATCCAGGTTGGCATTCAGCACATGGCTGCCCACAGAAGACTCTCCCAGCTCTTTATGTCCTTGAGTTATGTTTAGTACTTCCAGGCCTTATATATTCTGACCTTTCAGCCTTTGCCATAAGCTCCTGGGATCCTCAGAAGGTTTGGGAAAGGTTCTGAGTGTTTCTCCTAGAAGTGTAAGCACATCCTGAAATAAAAAGGAAACATGGGAATTACTTGGGTTTGTATTCCTGCCACTTCTCATGTCCTGTATGACAGGCCTGCCATTGGCAGCTACTTTTGAGTCCCCTCAAAAGCAGCTAGGTAGGCAGCACTCATCAGCACAATTCTGCTGGATTTTTAAAGTCTTCCCCTTGAGGGTTGCCCAGGGCTGTGCCAGGCTGCCCAGGGCAGTGGTGGAGTCCCCACCCCTGGAGGGGTTCCCAAGCTGTGGAGATGTGGGGTGAGGGACACGGGGCAGTGGGGACCTGGCAGTGCTGGGGAAGGGTTGGACTCCATGATCTTAAAGGTCCTTTCCAACCTAAACTATCCTGTGATTCTACATTGCAGTGCCCTATTCTGAGATTCCTATGGCAAAGGATGAGTAAAAAGGACTAGTATGGGCACAGTCACCTACTATCCCATCATTTTGTTATTGCCCATTTTGTCTTGGACAGCCCATCAGAAAACAAGCTGTGGAGAAATAATTAAGATGCATCCAAAACAATTTTAGGACATCCTGGGAAAGACCTTCAGCTTATCTAAATCAGACAAGCTCAAATGATTTGATCAGCATGTCAGTCCCAAGCATTTTATTAATGACAGGGAGCCAAATGCTATTTGGACTTGCACTGCACTCAGCTCAGTCTGATCTCACTGCCATAAATCAGGGGGAAATCTGGCTTACAGGTTCTTTAGTTACAGTATGTATAAAATGCACCACAATAATTTTTTGACAACATTTGCTTACCGTGGAGTAAATCTGTTCTTCCAGTTTCTCTTGGATTAAAGCACTTTCCATTAGCATCTTCTTTTGCCTGAGAAAGGCAATCCTGGCCAGCTCTGCCTCCTTCTCCTGACAGTCAGGGCACGCTGAACATTCATGGATTTGAGTTTCTATCACCTGCAAGATGAGACTTGGATGTCTGTCCCAGCAACAGCCACTCCATAAAGCACAATCAATAAAAATACTGATACAGATCCTGTCTAAAGACAAAAAATTTGCTTTTGTAGGCAGCTGTAAATTATTTCATAATCTTTGTCATCATCTTGATGAGCCCATCTCAACGTTTTCACATTAAATACATTTGCTTTTCCTGAGGTATGACCCTTTGCAGCACTGATAACAGTTTCATTTAAAATTATCTGGTGGGATCTCAGAAGCACAGCACTGATCTGTAATAGACTATTTCTTCTTGCAACAAAGTCCTGCTGATGCTTGTGCTCACAGCAGTGTTCCTATGTTGGCAGTGTACAGAAGGCCCTAAATACCAACCACAGAGGTTGTGATTAGCTTTACAAATTCTAAGAGGTAAATAAACTCTGCAGCAATTGATTCAAATATCTATATCCAGCTCTGAGTCAGAACACAAACAAAAGTCTAGTTTTCTTTCAAGATAAACAGTACTACTTATTAATCCCTGTGTTAGTTTATCCACCATGAGATCTCCAGTGTATTTAACAGCATCACACAAACCCAGTATTTGTACATCTATGAAATATCAACAATTTTATCTGATTCAATTTACACAAATTCCATCTGGTTACACACACACAAGAAGTTGCTACAAAAGCAGTGGAATCAAAAACAAGTCACATCACAAGCAACTCTGTCTTCCTCTTCTTCAATTTCTTCTCCTCTGGATAAAAAGGTTACTACATGGAGGTTTTATCCAGACACAGAAATCTCTTACAGCATCACTACACTGTAAGATTAATAAAGAGACAGTAAAATTGCTACAAAATTTGGATGGAGGATCAGTTAAAAAGTAATAAAATGCATATTGCTGAAATTTCACAACAATTTAAACAAAGAGGAAGCCTGAAATCACCATCATGTCAGAACTGACTTTAGAAGTGTTACTCCCTGCTCACCTGGCAGAGGCTTTGCAGAGGAATATTTTATCCCTTTTACTGAGTTATACAGCAATAAATTAAAGTCAGCAAATGAGATGGAGATAAAACAAAATAAATGGCTGTAATTACTATTCAAAGCTCATTTTTTCTTTTATCAGGGATACTTTCCCAGGTGCAGACATTCTGTACCAATGTCAAACAAAGCAGAGACATGCAGAACACTGCTATAAATAAGAGGTGCAAAGAGAACCAGGAAACAAGGAGTTTTTCTTCCACTGATCCCAGGTTTATTGTGGACTGCAGTAACTGGCCACCCAGCCTCACTCAGTCACACAAATCACTATTTTATCACCAGATGTTATTCTATAATGATTTGGTTTTTTACTAGGAGCATTTCTGCCACAGTGTCTAACAAAATTTTGAGATGTCAAGCAAAAACCTCCTTCAGAAGCATCAGCAAGGTCTGCTTGATTTGATGCTTATATTGTGGCTTTTTTTCCCCCAGTGGTTCTGCAAAAAGCACAGGCCAAATCTAAACGTTTCTGCCCTGGCCATACCTGTTGAACAGTCTCTCTGATGTTTTTCAGGAGGAGCCTGCTCATCAGCTGGTGAGGGACAGGGCAGCTGAAGCCACTGGTGTGGGGTTGCTCTGCTGGGAAGCTCTGCTGCAGCTTTCTTGCCTTGGCACCATCAGCCCTCTCCTGGAGCAGCCGCCGCCGCATCTTCCTTATCTTGAGGGAGCAAAAAGAGCTGAGAGCATCCCCTTCTCCAGCCAAAAATCCTGTCAGGTCTGTCAGGCAGGGAGCAACAAAACACAAGTGTCCATTACTCTATCAGGGAAAAAGGAATTACTGCTCTTTTATCTGGGTGACCTCTTATTAGCTAATAAAACCCCAAAGCTGGTGTGGAGCCTGGGGGCAATGCCTGTGACCAACAGCAGTGCAGAATTTAAACAAAAATCTGGGTGATAAGTGCAGGAACTCACACAACAAATGTTTCTATGAACAGTCTACAAAGAGGGGAAGGGTTTAGAACCTTAAAGAATGAGACTACTTAATGATACAGCACAAATAGGTGAATGAAGCAAGTGCTTAACCACCATGCCAATAAATAAACCCAGTTTCAGTGACAGATCTAGATCTTCTTCCCACCTGACACTGCAACTTGCTGAAACAAAATGAATTAACATTTAAAGAGAGCTGCTCATCTAGGAACTCCACTGAACAATTTGTAAGACACTGAAAAATTGGAGGTAGTGTCTATTTCCAGCTCTGGAGAACACCTCATATATATTCTACAACCTACAGTTGGGCTACTTTTTTTTTTTCCTCCTGAGGAAATTAAATTACATTAGAAAATACTTTCCCCTAAAGCTTCAATAATAATTTCCTAAATTCTTGATATGACCTAGCTTAAACAGGATCTTTGACTCTTTCATCTGCTCCTATCCTTCCCAGTGGCATGCAATAATAAATAAAATTGGAGAGGCTACACTTGACACGGGCAGGTAAAGGTGGATTTACAACTTCATTCAATGCTTAGTGGGGGATTTTCCACAGGCTTAAAGGCAGCCAATCAATACAGTATTTCATCAGCACATAATGACACTGCATGGCCCTGAGAGATACCACTGCTTGCAGCTCCTTAAACAGGGCAGAGGAGTTCTCTACCTTCATTACACAAATTTTGCTTTTATGCAACTACTGGAGCCCGACTAAACACTTTAAATGGGTGTAATTAAAGGAGAAATGAGAAGACAAAACATAACCACGGCACACAGCCAATGCTAACACAGCATTCCCTGCTCAGGACTCCACTCTGACACCCAAAAAAAAGTCAGACAACTGATAACCACTACAGAGGTTGAGGCAGGGACAGGTTGTTTTCACTCTGTCTGTTCAGAAATAAATTATACTGCCCATTTAGCTGGAAAGTCTGATTGTGTAATTGAACACTCTCTCCATCTTGCCTGCTTCACTCACTTGCAGTGATTAAATTCAGTTTTCTAGACAGACACTGCATATTTCAGGGTGTTTGTCTGACAACTGGTGCATTGGCATTCCAGTCCTGTGGGGTACCTTGGCACAAGCACCAATCCCTACAACACCCAACAATAGGGATGTAAAACTTGCCCTCAATGTGCTGTGATGGATTTAGGCTCGAGCACACCACAGAGAGCTGTGGAATTGTGCAAGGAAGCTGAGGGTCTCTTCAGAAAGCAGCCCCTCAGGATAAAGGGCAACTGGATCTATAGCTCATAGAACCACTGAGGTTGGAGAAGACCTCTAACAGCATCAAGTCCAACTGCCAACCCAACACCACCATGGCCCCAGGTGCCACATCTACAAGTGGTTTTGAGCCCCTCCAGGGCTGGGGACTCCAGCACCCCCCTGGGCAGCCTGGGCCAATGTCTCACCACTCTGCCAGGAGAGAAATTCTTTCTAATAGCCAGTTGAAACCTCCCCTGGGGCAAATTCAGCCCATTGCCTCTCAGCCTATCACTGGTTCCTTGGGAGAAGAGACCAACCCCCACCTCCTGTCAGGAGCTGTGCAGAGCCAGAAGGTCTCCCCTCAGCCTCCTCTTCTCCAGGCTCAGCACCCCCAGCTCCCTCAGCTGCTCCTCACCAGCCATGTTCCCCAGAGCCCTCCCCAGCTTCGTTGCCCTTCTCTGGACCTGCTCCAGCCCCTCAAGGTCTCCTACTCTGTGGTGCCCCAAAACTGACCCCAGCACTCAAGCTGTGGCCTCCCCAGTGTTGTGACCAGGGGCAAGATCACCTCCCTGTCCTGCTGGCCACACCAGTGCTGATCCAGGCCAGGATGCTGGTGCCTTCTTGGCCACCTGGGCACACACTGGCTCATCTTCAGCTGGCTGCCCCCCAACACCCCCCAGGGCCTTTTCTGCTGGGCAGTTTCCAGACAACCTGCCCCAAGCCTGGAGTTGTTGTGACCCAAGGGCAGGACCTGACCCTTGGCCTTGCTAAACCTCACAGTTGAGGCCAAGCAAAGCAGCAATCATTGAGCTTTGCTGTACAGACAACAAGGGAAAAAAGGGGATTTAATTGCAACTACCACAGTTCAGAATCAAGCATCATAAAGCAATTTATTCCTCCTTAGAAGATGTTGTATCAAATTGACTAAAGACAAAGACAGAATGGTAGTTTACAGAGAGATGAATAAGAATTAACAATACCTGCAATTTATGTTATTTTTGTTAAATGCAATTTAACAAAAAAATAAAGGTAGGATCAAGAACATCTTCTTGGGTAGGATCATGAACATTTGAGTGGAAACCCAACCAACCACAGCACAGAAGTCCTGTAGAACAGTGTAAATCACATGCCACTACTGGGTTCCATCACACTCATTTCCTAGGGCCATATTCATCTGAGCTGCACATAGAATGGATAAAAAGATTTAAAATTTAAAACTGAGGGGGGGAAAAAAGCCTAGAACAAAGCATTTACACACACCAAGTACTCCAATGCATAACTGAAACACAGGGGGTCTGCTGAACGTTTTGTGACAATTTAATACCAGCCTAATTAATTCCCTGAAGTTTCTCCTGACGCATGGAAGTGCATTTTAATTAAGAACTGCTCTCTAACAGTGCACCAGTTGTGTGCTGCCCCACACCCACCCATTTGCTCACTTGCACCTGCAGATGTCAGAAGAAACACTAAAAGTTTAGTTTTTCTTTTTTTTCCAAAGTTCCTAGTTTCATATTAATTCATGTTTCACACCAAACAAGCCCAGAAAGAATAAAAAAAATCAAGGATCAAGGACTGATTTGACTGTTTTACTGAAACAAGCACCAAAAAAATGATGAGAAAAGTCTGCACACAGTTCAGTTCTGTTGTTTTAACTGCACCATGCCTGTTTGCACTCTCAGGTTGCCCTGTCCTTCAGCTGGAGGAGCAGAATCCATGGGAGGGGATCTATGCACTCGCTCTGGTGGCTGGTTTCATTCCTTGTGTCTTTCATGTGTTCTCTCCTTCCTATCTTTGAACTAGAAATGCTCAAACACTCCCCCCTCCATGTGTGGTGGCAGACTGAAATGTCACTGCAGGGCTGCCCACAGAGAGGCCCTGCCAGGGCCAATTATTGCTCCAGAAGCACGTGTTGCTGCTGCTTGGCTGCCCAAATCCTGCACTCCCACCTCCTCTTTGCTGCAGAGGAATAAAGCAGGAAGAGGTGACAAGAGCAGCAAAACCAGACACCAGCACAGCCATCAAGCCAGAGCCCTGTACCACACAACAGGGAGGTCACAAAGCACAGAATATTTAGAAAGTAAAGCCCAACAAACTGGCCCAAGAAGCTGCTCTGATGACAGAGGCACCCAGGGGGTACCCATGGAGATAAGCTAATCCCCATGTCTACATTCTAAACCCTGCTGTGTGGTTTATAACTAAGTGACCTACATCAATTTTCCCTTCTGGATAGCTTTAAGTAGGACATTTTAAATCTATGTGAGAGGAGGGAGAAAAGTAAAGAAAATTCTTACTGAGTTTCCTTTTCCTTTCATGTGTGCCTTTGATTTAGCAGGAAAACAGGCAGGAATTTTGTTGTCATTACACTCTGCTAATACTCTATTTTAGGAAGAAAAAATGTGAAATGGCAGAAGGAGAGATAATTGTGAAAGGCAGTAACTGACACCTGCTCTTCAGCAAGATTTTCACTCTGCACCTCAAGATAACATTTTCCTAATTAACTCAATCTCATTTGTACAATCAAGTGCAGCAGCTCAGATTAATCTGCTGACAGCCCGAGCAGCCAACACAGAGCTCAAAAGATTTGTGCAGATAACACAGAGAGGATATCAACAGGCTGAGATACCAGACTATTTATCACAAATAGGAATTTAAAGCAAGTAAAATTCCTCCAGCATGGTGAAGAATTTCCTCCATTTCCACCAGCATCAGTGAGAAGAGACAACAGTAAGACCCTTGCACAGTCCATGTCTTTGGGAAGAAATTCATACCTTCCAAGTCCCATGAAGGCATTAATGAGCTCCATGATTTTTCTTTACAAGCAGGGGTTTCCCATTGAGATGTTGATGACTGGAATTTCTCCATCTAGCCTAAATTAATACTGTTTCACTACCAAATCAGCAGAGAAGTCTGGAAACTCAGGGCCTAACCAGGTCTGCAGGAATCCCACAACCTCCACGTGGTATCAAGTAGGAAGCTTTGGGGCTGAAAAGCTCAGGAATAGAAAAGAGTCAGTAGAGGCTACTGGATACCTGCTCCCTTCTCCAAATAGAGTACCAGAATGTTTTCTCAATCCTTATAAATAAATTACTACTACTTTAATAAATACCTTTATTAAACTACTGCTACTTGATAAGTCAATAATTAAATGCTCAGACCCAAGAAAATTTGTTCACAAAGTGAAGATAAACTAGATCTCTGCAGAAATACCCTGGACAAGCTGGAAAAAAATCTGATGTAGAAAAATAAACATTTAGAATTATAGAATCATTTTGTTTGGAAGAGACCTTTAAGATTATCAAGTCCAGTTTTGGTTGGAAGAGACCTTTGAGATTCTCAAGTCCAACCATCCACCCTAGACAACTTACAGAACTCATACACTTCCCTCAGTGCACACACATCAGATACTTTCAGCCTAGCAGCACAAACCACAGGTATTTATTTGCCTGTCTCTTTTTCCCTTTTAGATTTCCCATTGTTGACACCACTGTCATAACACCAATAATAGTTAAATTACTAATATTGACTCAACTGTATTTCAGCCACGAACTGTCTGGTGCTGCTCAAACCTGTCTGTGCCTCCAAATAACATACATTAACTACAGCTCTCTCACTTTTGCCAAAAACAGTGCAGCAGTAACATGGCAAACAGAAATAAATGAGCAAAATGTTTAAAGTTGACACGTTACAAACAAAGGTGAGAGCAAACTTCTAAGTCCAGCCTGAGGCAGAGCATGAAAAAGTCCCACTGGAACTCTCAGACATGGCAAAGCTGAAGAACTGGTTTGCTGTAGAAATTGGGAAGGTTACTAATGGTCTTTGGAATAATCTATATGGAATTTGGGACTTACAGTGACTTTGTGCTGCATTTCTCTAATAACACTAGTTCCTGCAACACTGGGGTAGAGAACCAGAGAAGAAGAAGACAGGAGGACAATCACCACACAGATTTCTCACTTCTCTGAAGGCCAATATCTAGGTTTTTCTTCTTTCAGCTCACAAAGAAAACTATGAAAAAGAAGAACCTGAAAGCACTCCTGTATGCAAACTGAGGTATTTTCTCCCCACATTTAACCCTACCAGTAGTAACATAATAAAAAGAATTACAGAAGACAAGGCATCACTTCACACATCAGCAGGAGTTAAAGAAACTCAACTTGCTACTCAAGATTGGGTGACCACTCTGACTCTCATTGCCCAAAGTCCATCAACCAAGGGCAGAATGTTCCCTGAAATGGATTAAGAGGACAGACAAAACCTCCCCAAGTGTGACTTTGAAGGGAAAGCTCTGTAGAGATGGAAAACTTGCCCAACGTGATGCTGTGGTTTATCCTTCACTCTGTGAGTCTGAGCTCATCATCCTTTTCAGTTCCTCTGTGAATCACATGGGCACAGGATGCTGATGGATTTTAGGAGGACTATCTCAGCAGAGCTGCCCAGGAGAAGCCTCTCTACTAGAGATGAGATGATCTACACTGTCTTCTCACTCAACTACATGGCAGTCCTGGAAAACCAGCCACAGAAAGATGAATGCTGAAGATGAGTCAGGAGCTCACAACATTGACTCACCACTGTTGTGAATGAGCTATACAATTAAGAACAGCCTAAAAAATCATCTTAGGTCATGTTTCCCACGACACGTGGATGGTTTGGGGATGGCTGTATGCAAATGCAATGCCATGAAGTACCCAGCAGAAGGATCTCTCTGGTTGATCAGTCTTACAGGTGACCTGCAAAACTTTCTGGGTTCGTTCACTTCCCATGTACACACAGGCTGAGGAAGATTCTCCTTCCACTTCCATTATTTCTTGCTCAACTACAGCTTTCTTGCTCTTTTTTTTTAAATTAAAAATAGTATCTTTGACCCACTTTTTAGAAAGACTTAAGCAGGACTTGAATCCCACCATCTGCTCTCACAGTTGCTTGCATAACCAGTACATGCAAACAGAATCCTTCCTTCCTTCCTTCCTTCCTCCCTTCCCCTCTCCTCCTCCAGACACTACACGATTGTGTGGGTTAAAGCTGCTCCATTGTTCTTGCCAAAATTGGTGCCCTGCTGCCTCCCTCAGCTTGGGAAAGGAACTATAACATGGCACACAAGTAATTCAGTAATTAACACAACCAATTAACAGATGGCAAAGATTTTCATGCAATAAATTCTGAAGTTGTGTTTATTTTGGAGGGGAAAAACCCACACTCCTAGAACCTGTATAGCTAGAGAAAAAAAGAGAAAACCTCAACAGGAAAATTTTGAGGATTAGTTAAATTTAAAACACAGATACACTTTTTTTAAGCTGTTTACCCAGATCTTGTGGTAAAGCCTCACTAGGATAATGTCACTATGTCAGAAGCATCAAAGGCATCTGTGTTATTGGAGGTCAAACTGGATTCCAAGACAGCACAGAAGAGAAACTTCGTACTTAATTACCTGGCTAATTAATCCAGGCTAATTACCTGGCTTAATTTTAATAGCTGGTATATAAAACTTAACTCTAGTTGAAGTTTGTCCACCCCTTTTCAAAAGAAACAAGAATTACAACCTGTAGTAAAGTCACTGAACTCACCACCCTGAGTTTTGATGATGGATTTGTCCTGCTTGGCGCCAGCTTCTAGATTTTGGAGATGAATCCATTTTCCTATGACAGCTCCTTCTACAGCTGCAGAATCCACTGCTCCAGACTGCTCATCTACAAGGAGAAAAAAGCCACTTTGAACCTACCTTTTAAAGAAAGCAGGACTGCAGAAAACCAAAGTGGGAGGCACTCAATCCTCCACTGGAACCTGAGTTTTCCCTGCTGAGGGAGAAGCAATCCCAAGCCACAGGACTACAGAGGACTATTGATGAGTTCAGGGTGAAATGCTGAACAAGCTTCTGTCCCACCAAGCACCTCAAATTGTCCATTTCTAAACCAAGAGCCTTGCTCAGAGCTTATTGACACTTTCAATTTTATCTGTAATGGCAACTTAACCTCAATCTCTTCCCTCATTCAGCTCTGTCAATTATTTTCAGCCCTAAACAGGCTCTTTGTTTCTGGCAGCACAAGTTCTCTTGGGAGCTCAGGTGGAGCTGAAGGCATTGATCCAAGAGAAAAATCATGTGTGACAAGAAATAAAAGAAATCTGTATCAGCTCCCTGTTTTCCAGCTTGCTCCAGTACAACTCCAGTTCTGCAGGAACTGAGGAAGCAGCAAAGATGTGAAAGTGAACAGCTGGGAAAAGACAAAAGGCCAAAAGAGGTTGGAAAAGTCACTGTCACTGATAACAAGATGCATCCAACATGGTCCCAGATCAAAACACTGAGCCCTGACTTCTCTGCTCTGTTTTCAGGCTGCTACCAGAAAATTCTCTGGGCTTATACAAGGAAAAAATGAGAGTTTTCTATGTTTTTTTTTATTATTTATACATACTGTTCTTGTTTTCTGCAGAAAGCCACCCAAGATATCTTCCTATTATTTCCCAAAATTTTTTTTCTATGAATTATTCCTAGTTTCTCATTTAACTGGTATTATTCAGAAGAGTCCATAATCTTATAAAACATTAACCTTGTAAATATAAGAAGTGGCAACACCTATTAAAAACCCTCTATGCACACAGCAAGGCTTCCTCCTAGCATGTACTCCCTGATGCTAGAAATCAGGATGTCAGTGTTTAGCCATGGAATGATTAAAATTGTTACATCTCTAGACAAGAAAAGTTTTATTAAAACCTATCACTTGTAAGAACCAAAAACTTTAAGCAAAATTGTTAAATCTGTCAGACACTGTTCATGATGCCAGTGTAGCACCAAGGCAGCAATCATCTCTGTATCCAGATTCATGAAGGACTGCTATCCAAGGCTGTATTCCATGCCATGACAAACAGGGATTACATTCCCAAATACATATCTGACAGCAAATGCTGTCCTGCATTGTTCAGATGTTGTGCCTAAACAGGATTTTAAAAGGATTCTGAATTATAATGGGTTCTGGTTATTACCACAGGGTGGGAAAAAACAAACCAACCCACAGTAAAATGCTGGATGGATGAGGGGCAGGAGGAAGATCTCCACTGGACTTGGCAAGCTCCTTCTCTTCCTACTATAGCTGATTTTAATGTGCAGACAAGGTTCTTTATATATTGGTATATGCCAGCTGATCAAGCTGAACTGAGTAGAATCAGACTGGAAGAATAGCAGCTAATACATGTTAAAAAGTATCTTCAGAATACACTACCTTGAAAAATATATTAAAAGTGCTGCAGCTAATCTTTAAAGCTATAATATTTATAGATTCTGACAAGCTCCCAAACTAAAAAGACATTTTCAACATTATTCCTCTCTTCAAGTACTCACAATACTCACCAGCTCAAACTTGGATAAAAGAAGAATGTAGAAGAATGAGAGAGAACCTCCCAGAGACAGAAGAAAACCTAACAAGACATTAAGGCAATTAGCTCATGTCCTGCTCTCTGCTTCTTTAAGGTGTTACTTAGCCCTCTTATATATTTCATATCCTGGAACTTTCCCTGTGCCCTTGGAAAACTTATTTTACTGCCCAGCTACTTTTCACACGCAGTAACTCAGTCAAGATATCTTGCAGATTTATTTTTAACAAAAAACAAGAGAACTGCAGCATCACAAGATGACAATGGAAGGGCTTCCATGGCCAAATCACACCCTTCTGCATGCAGGCATCAGCTAACCAGGAGCACCAAAGGCAGATCTAGTCAGTGTTCTCAACCTTCTTCTGGTGTCCTGTTGCTTGGCACAGCAGGAACACCACCCACAATTTTTACTTCTTTTATTTTTGCTGATTCAAGCCTCTGATTTAAAGCTGCGTGTTCTCAACCTTCTTCTGGTGTCCTGTTGCTTGGCACAGCAGGAACACCACCCACAATTTTTACATTTTTATTTTTGCTGATTCAAGACTCCACTGCACTGATCTAAAGCTGCAAAAGATGATTCTCAAGCATGGCAAGCCCTGCATACCTGTGTGGCTTTGGCCTGCCAACTGTGATGTGCTGCCCAGCACATCTGACACAGCAGATCCCTCTGAATCCTCTCTGGAATGACACGATTCCAATGGATCACTCTCTTGCTGCCAGCAGGATTCATCCTCCTCACTGAAGGACTCAAAGGTATCTTCTGAATAGTCCAAATCAGAGCTCCTGTGACTCTGGCTTGACTCCATCTGCCACTTTCCCTCGATGCCTGCTGAGGCAACCATCGTGGTGCAGCACTGCAAATAAAGACCAGAAGTATGTAACAGGCTCAGATCTGCAGGAGGAGAACTGGATTGCTTGGAGGACAGCTCACCTCACACCCAAATCATCCACCACGTGCTTATGGATGTGGTGTAGTGGCAAACTCAGCACTGCTGGGTCAATGGTTGGGCTCGGTGACCTTAAAGGTTTATTCCCACCAAAACAATTCTGTGATTCTACAAAATCACAACTTAATCAGTGCACTGGATCAAGGCACTGCTCTCCAAAGCACTGCTGACCAAAGTGCTGCACATCAGGATCTGCTGGGGAAGCACACACTAACTACCACTTAGTTTTTAAGTGTCCTGCTCAAATTTGTAGTGAATTACAGCAACACTTGAAGAAAGTCATTGATGAAAGCAAAAAATACTTTAAAAATCTCCTTAATTATTTTTTAAATTCTTTTCTGGCCTTCAGATTATTAAGCCTCTTGCCACTCAGAAACACAAAACTTCTTTGCTCTGCTTAGATTTTGTCTAGAAAATTAAGAAGAAAACACAACAAGCACCAGCCAGCTGACACTCTGAAACGAGGAGTCATTTCAAAGAGAGCAATAAAATGCTCCAGATTCTAGCTCCAGAACAAAACAGACCTCAGACAGTTACCTATAATCTAATGGATTTATTTTAAAGCTTTGGTTTTACTTGTTTTACCCTTTTTTTATTAGAATGATGCAATAGCCTTTCTTCCATTGAATTTAAGGACCGACATAACTTCGTCCTGAATTGTTTTGCTCCAATTTCTTCCCTATTCTCATAAAAGGAGTCAAGCATGGGCAACACCCCTCTGGAAAGACACCTGCCACAGTTCCAGTCCCAGTTCCTTCATCAGAAGGACAGGACACCCAACCTGGTAACAAACCCCAGCACTGCAGACAAAAGCACTTTCTGTCACACCTAAAATTCAGGGGGTTTACTGCACTTGATGTTTGTTACTGGGGTTTATGCAACTTCATTTTCAAGGTGCTGACTGGGGCCATTTCCCTCCTGAATGTGCTATGCTGCCTGTTTTACATGTCACCTTATGCCAAAGTCTTCTGCAAACTGTGTAAAGACCCTGTGCCTCTAAAACAAATCCTTTCCCCAGCCTAGATTTCCAAAATTCATCTACTGTCCCAACCTTCTAGGCCCAAAAAAGACTTCTTTTTTTTGTTATAACATGATCCAAAAAAAAAAATAAAGAATTGTTCTGATCTAAACATTAAATGTTAGTAAACACTAAGTCATTATTTTGTTCATTCCACCACCTCTGATTGTGGATGGAGATTGGTGATTAAGGTCAGGTCTACCAGAAAAAAACCAATAGGGAATGCAAACAGAGAGTCAATTAATTCTCCAGCCCACAACTGACCTGAGGAATTTCAGCTGCACACGCAGCATGTGGATAGTTGAGGAGGAAGAAGATTAATTGCAGCAAATAACATGACTGCCTGAACTAGGGATGCTTTATAATATCAGCTGTGACTGGTATCAGCTAATTTTCACAGTGAAAAATAGGTATTTGTTACAACGTCAGCAGGTAAGTAACTTAGAAGCCCTAAGTATACTTCTAGATAGCAAATAAAACATGTTTACAGACAACCATAAAGTTGCATCTGCCATCACATCGCTTTTATTCCTCACAAGGCTGAGGCAATATCTACCTTAATAGCTTGGCAGAAAGCAAGCTCAGGGCTTCGGTGAGGGTTCTGAAAAAGAAAAGCCACAGAACTGTCTGAATTGCCTTTCCAAGAATCACTTTGTCTTACAGGCACGGTGACAAAACCTTCACTCTCTACTGAGAAGAGGTTGCTGTGATACAGTGCCCCTGAAAATTGAAAGTATGTTCACAGTATCATAAAATCTCAGGTTGGAAGGGCCTTCAAGGATTGTCTGATCCAACTTTTCCTAGCAAAAGCCCTGCTTAGACAAGGTGGCCCAGCACCCTGCCCAGCTATATCTTAGAAGTGTCCCATGTTGGGGACCCAACTTCTTCCCTGGAGTGAATAGTCCAACAGCTGATGGCCCTTGTGAAAAATTCTCCTCTTGTGTCTAATCAGAATCTTGTACCCACCACCCCTCGTCTCCTCCATATGATTCCTTGTAAAAAGGGAGTCTCCACCTTCTTTGTAGCCAGGCTTTAAACACTGGAACATGGTGATAAGGTCTCCCCTGAGACTCCTTTTCTGAGGGCTGAGCAAACCCATGGAAAGGGGAAAACCCGAGGGAACGAAGCTCTGTCCTCTCAGTCGGCCAAAATGGGATTGGAACAAACCACTCTCACAAAAAAAATCTCTACTTCCACCAAGCAACAGCCAACTAAGAAACTCCTCTCCATGCATTCTCTAGTTAAAAAGCAAAACGAAAGAAAAACGACTGGGCTGTTGGTTTGTTTGTTTAACTTCACAATCCCGCACT